ATATATATATATATATAGTCACTTTTAACGTCAGAGTATATATAAAAATTAATTTTATCCTCATTTATACAATATTTTATGAAAGTATAAAAATATAATACCTTACAAATTCAAATACTTTACTATTGTTATTATTTACATTAACTTAATAAAGAAGGAATGAACATAATACTTGAATAGTAATAGCCTTTTTATATCCAATAATATAATTATAGGCTATAATTTCTGAAAGATATTATTTATTATTAATTAGTGTTCCGTATGCTTTTTCTATAATTTGAAGATTTTGGAAACTTTAACACATTGACTGCAACATTTTCTTTCATTGCTCTGTAGAAAAATATTAAATATATAATGTGTAAATTCAATTATTAAAAATTCAAAATTTTGAAGAAATAGAAGAAAAATAGAATATGAAATATAAATATGTAAATTCTAAATAGCATGCATATAAAAAAAATTTTAGCAATGTACATAAATTTAACATACACTTAAATAATATATGAATATTTTGTTTTCAAAAAAAATCAATTACTTTTTTATATTCATATTAATGTGGTTAATTAAGTGTTGTTTGAATTTTGTTTATAATTATGTTAAATAATAATGCACGTACATTCCTTTGCATGTAATAAATAAATTGTAGCAATTGCATTGCAATAATTAAGCACCACTAAAAAAAAAAAACGAATTCTTGGCAGTCTAATTTCAGGCAAAACATATTTAAAGATATGTTCTTCTCACGGTTTTGTATCTTTTTCTAAATGTTTGTTGAATTCCATCATGGAAATATGTTGTTGACTAGTTCTCTCTTTCAAAAGTTTATTACATTTTGAATATGACACAGCCTGTGCTTCTTCTAATTCCCTTACTCTGTCCTCCAAATGTTTTATTTTCCGACATCGTGCACGGCATACATCTCTTATTAATGCGTTTTCTTTTTCCAGTTTTGCTATTTTTAGATCATCCTACACAGATATTATAGTTGTTTTTTATGTAAAATTATTGTATTTCTATTTACCTTAATTATTTCGTTATTCATTGTAAAAAGTTGTGACGTATTATTTAATGTCGTTTGACACGCTTGGTTTCTCCGATTAATACGCCATCGTCTACATATATCACATTCCCATGTGTTAATGTCATTTAGAGTCCTTTGAAGTTTTCTTACCTCAGAACTAAGATCCGCGTTCTAAACAAAAATATATAACTAATCTTAATTAATTTAATCAATTTTATTTTTTAAAAATACATTGAAAAAAATTGATATTATACACACTTTTTTACGAAACGTGAGCATATCTTCTTCTAGTTCCTTACATTTTTGTAAGTAAGGAAAATTTTCACTCTGAATTTGAGTTTCTAATGCCGAAATTTGTCCATTTTTTATTACTAGTTCTAATTCTAATTCCTGAATTTTCTTTCTTAACATTTGGCACGTTTGTGAATTTTGATCATAATCTGTATTTTCTAGTTGTCTTCTTTGATTAAATATCTCATTTCTGCTACGTCTTCTTCTATTATTTTCAAAAGCTGGACTAGTAGATCTTGAACTGCTACTATTGCTTTTTAGTTCTAATTCACTTTGACATTCATCAAATTTCATTTGTAATTCTGAATTTCTTTTTCTTAGAATATCAAGAATTTTTTCATTGTGTAATTTTGTATCTTCTACCTGTTGCATGTTTGTTTGTGCTATTGTTTTAAATGTTTGAAGTTGATTTTTAAATTCTTCATTTTCTTTTTCTAGACTTGTTAATTTTTTTGTTAATTCATTAATCAATTTGTTTTCAGCTTGTTGCATGTATATTTTATCTTTTAAACTTGATAGTTCTTCATTACGTTCATATAAAATAGTGGTACATTCTCTTAATTGATTATCCAGTTCTCTCTTCTCAGTAACCAAATTTTTTATTTGACTTGTATATTCTACAATCACTTTGTCTTTTTGTGATAGTAATAATTTTTTACCTTCTAATTGTAATGCGATTTTATTTTTTTCTTGGAGAAGTACATCATATTTGTTTTCTTCTTTCAATAAATATAAAGTATTTTGTTTGGATTTGCATAACGATAACATCTTTTTTAATTCAACATTTTCTTGAGACAGTAATTCATATTGACTTTTTAAATTAACTAATTCTTTGAAAGTTTTATTTTTGCTTTCCTGCAGTTCAATTATACGATTACTTGCACCTTCTAAATTATTTTGCAATCTTTTGTTTACATCCTTTAACTCTTCCATCTCTGCTTCAACTTTCACTTTACTTGTACTATTTCTAATTTTCTTTTCTAATTTAACATTTGTTTGTTGCAACTGTTCACACTTCTCTTTTAAATTATCAAGTTCTTCTATTAAAACAATATTTTTACTATTTAGTTCATTTAACTGCTTATTTAATCCAATATTTTTTATCTCTTCCAAATTTAATTTGTCTTTGACTTCTTCAATTTGTTTTTTCTTTTCCATCTTCAACTTTTCTATTTCTTCTTTGTATCGTTCTATACTTTCTTTTCTTTCCTTGATTTGATTTTGTAATATTTCATAGTCTGGCATGATAGATTCTAATTTCATTTTATATTCGGATAACATATCACATTTATTTTTCAAAAGTAGTGTAATGTTTTCAATTCTAGACGTTTTTTCTTTCATTTCGCAATTTAATTCATAATAAACTTCTCTGAGCTCTTCAAAATCAAGTGTAATTTTATGAATGTTTTGATTCTTTACTTTCAGTTCTAAAGAATTTGCTTCTATAATATTTTTCATTTGTTTTTCATTAGCTTCAAGCCCTTCAATATTATTTTTCAATTCTATATTTTTTGTTTTATAGATTTCTATAGTGCAAATTAACTCTTCTATTTTCTTTTCATACCGCTCTTTTTCACATTTCATTTTAGACTGAAGTTCAATTTCTTTACATTTAAGAGCTTCTCGTACTTCTTTTTCTCGTTTTTGTACAACAATAATAGTTTCTTCTTTTTGTTGAATATCTGCTCTACATTGTTTGTCAAATTCGTTTTGCAAATTATTGAGATAATTTTCTAATGTTTTAATTTCTTCTTTGAGTATTTCCTTTTCATAATTATTTTCTTTTACAAAGTGTTTTAATCGATCAATTTCATCTTGTTTTTCTATACATAAATTCTCTGTTTTTTTAAAGTCAATGTGTAATTTTTCATTCTCTGTTTCCAATTCTTTAGCCCATAACATCATGCGTTTTTCAGCATCTGCACATTGTTGTTTCTCGTCTTCTAATCTTTGTTTGTCTTTTTCGAATGATTCGTTCATTTTTTTAACTATTTCTTCTTCTTTCAACATAATCGTTTGCAAAAAAATGTTGAAAATTTCATTTACAGTTTTACTTGAAAAATCTATAGAATGTGATATACATTCAAGTGACTTTAATTCTTTGATCATAGATTCTTTAACAGTATCTTCACAATGTAAGTTTCTTTGTTTTTCTAAATCTAGTTTAAGTTTTTCTATATTTGATTCTAATTCATTGATTTGCAGTTTTTCTATTTCTATACTTTTTTGTTTCTCTTCTTTTAATTCGTCACATTGCTTTCTTAAAAGTTTTAATTCATCTTTATATTTGCATTCATTTTTTTTAATTAAAATAGTGAATTCGTTCTTTTGAATAGTTATTAAATCTAATTCATGTTTTAATGATGATATACATTTATTTAAATCATCGATCGTTTTATTTAGTCCAGTAATAAGATTATCTTTGTTTTCATTTTCAAGCTTTAATTCTTCTAATTCTATTTCTAATGTCATTTTTTCACTCTGCATTATTTTCTCCAACGCAGAAAACTGTTCGATTTCTTTATTCATATATGACAATTCATTTTCGAGAATTTGAACTTTTTCTGTAGCTTTAGATATTGATATCTCTTTATCTGCCATTGTTTGTTGTAACATTTCATTATTACTTGTTAAACTACTAATTTTTTCTAATAATTTTTCTTTTTTCGTTTTATACAAAGAAACAAAATGTGTACTACTCTTCTTTATTTCATCTATATCGTTTTTTACTTGATCGATATTATTTTGAAGCTGCTCGATTTTTTTTTCATTATCTATTGCACTATGAAGTTTTTCTAGTTTGTCACATTTTTCTTTATATGAAATTGAAAGTTTATCATGGTCATCTTTTAAAGCTTGTAATTCATTATTTAAATGGTAAACTTTTTCTTCTACAAAACTTACATTCATTCTATCTACAAAACTGGTGTTCAAGGATGGGTCAGTAAAACTTAAATTCAATTCTTGATTAACCTTAAATTTTAATGTTTCAGTATCTGCACATTTACGATCAAATCTTTTTTGTAAGTCTTCTAATTTATGATTTAAAATTTTTGCTTCAAGTTTAAAAGCTCTACGACTTTCACTTACATTCTTTAAATGTACACATTGACTACAAGATGATAATTTTAAATCACTTAATTTTTTATTTACACGAGATAAATGTGTAATTTCCTTTTGTAGCATTATAATTTTGTTTGACAGTTCTTCGTAATTTTCATTTGGTACTATTTTCTTCATAGTTTCATTCGACTTCTCAGGATCATTAGGTACAATAGAATTATGTACTTTTTCATTGTGCGAATTATCAAAATTTTTCATATTTTCTAATAGATTATTGGAAAATTTTGCATTTTCATCAGTTAATATTGTTATTCTCATTCCTAATTCTGCAATTCTAGCTTTCAAAATATTGTTTTCTAACCTTAATTTCTCTATGTCATTTTCATTGGAATCCAGGTTTTTTATTAAAGTCATTTTATTATTTAAAATATCACATTGTTCTTTCAATATATCATTTTCCTCAATTTTGTTTATTAAATCAGTAGAAAGTTCATTATTTTCCTTTATCAAATATTCATTTTTTTCTGTAAGTAATGTAACTTTATCTTTATAAATGCAGTCATGATCATATAAGAGTGCTTTACTTTCTTTAATATTTTCAAGTTCCTTATTTTGATTTGCAATAATCGCTGATAAATCAATATTTTCTGTTTTCAATGCCTCAATTTTATTCTGATATTTAATAAGTAACTGCTCATCGTCGTATTTTTCTGTTTTTGAACGAAACGATTCTAATTGGTCATTCAAGACTGTTATGTGGTTTTCTAAATCAATTTTCTCCTCCGTAATTTTTGAGATTTGTGTATAAAGTTCATTGATTGTTTTCTGAAAATTTAATTCGGTTTCTTTAGCAAGTTCTTTTTCAGCATATAATTTGTTTGACATTTCCATATTTTCATTTGTCAATAAACAAATAGTTTTTTCCAACTTTTCTATATCTAATTTAATACTTTGAACATCGGGTTTTATTTCATCCTTTAATTGTATTACAAAATTTGGAGAATATTTGTCAATTTCATCATTTTTTGAATCAGAACAAATAAACAATTTTTTCGCTTGCTCTTCCATATTCTTGTAAAAGATCCAAAATTATAAAAAAAAAAATATATATATATATATAGAATTGGAAAACTAAAATTATGACACACATATAGATATCAATTGTACTTACATGTGTGTAACAATGTTTTTCTTCACATGTCAATTGTTTTTCCAAAGTTGTAAATTCACGAAGTTCATCAAGCTCTGTTCTCAGATCCACAATACATTTCCGCAAAACTTTTTTTGGTGTAGAAGGATATACTCCACTGCTGTTGTAGATAAGAAGAAATATTAAGTTACAATGGATAATATTTTGATAATTACATAGATACTTAGAAATTTGCATTAAAGAATCTTACGTTCCAGATCTTAGAAAAAAATAATTACTTTCCATACATTTAACATGTTTATTTCTAGTATTATCATTTTCTTTGATTTCATAATCTGCTTCATGATCAATTATTTCATGATCACTTGCATCTGATTCAAGATCTTCCTGAAATGCTGAAAGTATAAAATAAGCTAAATTTTCACATAATTGTAAACAATGAAAAAAGCAAATTGCACAATGTGATAAGTTTACTTTGATTTATGTCAATTGATTGCATAATGTTTTTTTTATGTGGTTTCTCAGGTGAAATTTCTTTTATTGTTGGTAAGCAAGTTTGAGTATAAAATATAGGTGAATACGGTTTGATCATTCCAGGATTATAATAAATTTCTCTTCTTTTAGACTTATAATTAACTGGTTTTTCACCATTTTTTAAATGTCCAGAAATAATTTGAGTTTTTAATAATTTTATACGTTCTTCTAACAAGTGACATTTTTGTTGCACCTTATTAGATTCTACTTCTTCTACGTCTATAGGTGAGTTTCCATTTTTTATTCGCTAATGAAATAATTTCAATATATCATAGTAATTGTAATGAAAAAATTACTTAATTTTTAAAATTAAATTACTGTTAATTATACAAACCTCCAGTTTCACTTGTTTTGCATAACAAAGAAGTGATGCATTAGATATAATTTTATCCTTTTGGGGTTTGGTTTTAACTCTTTTAGCTTCAGTTGCGAATCTAAATATCAAGAAAAATGTTCTAACACATATAAAGTTATATATTACTTTGTAAAAAGTAGCATACTAACGATAGAGTGTAATATGTTTCCTCTAAGGTAACAGGTGTCACTGTACATATTATTGCTATCAAAGCATTGCCACTTAATGATGACTGTAGCAATTCTGTTAGTTTACTATTATGATAATCAATGTGTTTCTGGATATTTTGTGACTTACTCATCTGTGTGATTATTGATTCTAGAGTAAAAAGAGATATATCAGTTTGATGTTCTTCAATAACTTCAGTCCACTGAGTTTTTGTAAAACCAGCAAGATCTATCAAATTTAATTGTGATAATTGCACAATATTCTTTGAATCTTCTTCAATTCCTTGACTTTCAATTATCTAAAAAAAATGTGGCTCTATTCCACTAAATATAATAATATATATATATATATGTAATATAAAAGATTTTATGCATTCTTACAATTTGAAATATGTTATGGCTATTAATATGTTTATTCTTATTTTCTTCTATTCTGTCATTTTTAATTCCTTTTTTCATTAGAGACAACATGTCATTTGAAGAATTTGTAATTTTTTCTGCACAGTTAACAATTATTTTTCCATTATTATCTTTGTATAATTTTAAATCAATCTGATTCTTATCTAATAAGTCATTTATTTTTTCATCACAAACTTCTAAATAGGATACCCTAGAAACAACAAACGTCCTTCTCATGATTTCTCAAAAATTACAGACAATCTACAATACAAACCTCAATAAAAATTCACGTTGAATGACATTTGAAATAGCATCAAATATATATTCAACAGTAAGTGGTATTATTCCTGGATCTTCCGAGGTACCTATCATTGTATATGTTTTACCAGAATTAAACTGACCATAACAAAATACTGTTCCATTAAAACCATTTATAGTAGCATCAACAATAGGTTTAACAATACTGTCAAATATTTTAGAATTTTTTGTATTTAGATCAAAATTATAATCTGTAAATAAAGTATTAAAGATAAGTAATATAATAATTTAAAAAAACATTACAGTATTGTAGTAAATGTTTACAATAAAAAAATTGTGTAATGCATTTAATACTTTATCTATTTCTCTTATTATGTACAAATAGTAAATATTAATTATCCAATGATTTACAGCAAGAATGTTTAATGTAATTGAATACATTAGCAAACAATTACTGATTAATCATTTGTAATGAGTACTAGAACTTCTACATTTTTACTAATTTTCTTTCCCAGTGAAAATATGTTATTTAATAAAAAATGACAAGTAGGTTATACTCTAGCATAATTACTTTTGTACACAGAGAGAAATAAAAGTTGAGACAGCGTTGGAATCATTCACACGTACCAAAATGAAATCCGTTATCATCCCATTTACTTGTCTTTTGCTCTAACGAAACAATCGAGTTTTTTTTTACGATCCATTGCATCGACAAATTTTCATCTAGCTCCTGTTGCGTCGGAGGTCTTAGTTTAATTCCCACCTTAACATCGCTCGACATCTTGGCAACGTGTTAAACGAAACGGCATAGAAATTTTGAATGAAATTTTTTTCACGTGGCCACTTCGTCTACAATTTGCTTTTTACGTCCAACCTCGTTACATGTTACCTCTCAAATCGCAACTGCCATTTAAAATGACGACTGCTTTAATGCTCATTTAAATTTAAATTTCCAACGGTCTGATTGGTTCAATCGAGCATGCAGTGCAATAAGCAAGAACGTGATAAGACTAAGAATATTTGAATTTTATATGCTGAAAACTACATTTGAATATTGTATGTTTTGGAATAGTATATGCGTTCAATGAATTACTTAATGCATTCCTTGATGATTAATTGCAACGTAAACGCGAGTTTAGAATTAAATCGAGTTTGAAATTTAAGTACACGGATAAATCGTTGTCTCTTTATGTAAGTTGTAGATTTTTGTAACAAAAAATACATACGAAAGCGAATTTTAAATAACAAGATTTATTTACATTATTACATTCATTTTCCAACTTTGTCATCAGTTCAAATTTGTGCTTTTTATATCCATCATCAAATTATCAATTCGATACTATCGAATCTTTAACAAAATGATATCGATAGTAGTGTCTGCTACTATTGTTGACTGAAAGTGTTCTGTTTGTAAAACATTTCTCGACGTAGAAAAATACCAATGTGTCTACATAATAAATTGTTTTGGATCTAATGTTGCTTATATTGCACAGTATTAGATGTTTTTTCCAGAAGAACAGTTCTTGAAAACTCTCTTTATAAATGTTACATAGGTTAGAATTTATTAAAATAAAATCTAATATAATATTTTACGGTGCTTTTGAATATTATTGGAAAAAATTCTAATAATGAGTTTAAATTCTAAAAATTCTGAATTTTGAAGATTTTTACTTTTTTCTTTTTATTTGTATCCAAAAAGAAAAAATGGGCAATATCAACGATCATTAATTACGCTTTTACTTTTTTTTTAAAATTTAAAAGGTACAAGTATCATAATGGACCGTGGCAAGGCAGGAATTGGTAGAGGTGCAAAAAGTAAAATTGCACAACATCCCTCTGATCTGTTTGCACTTGGATCTAAAAGCTCTCGTAATGAAAGTTCTGACGTTAAAAGACCAGGTGTTATTCACTCTAAGCCAAGTAGTAGTAGTACTTCAACTTCTGGTAAATGAAACATTGTTCTTTTATGTATATATATATATATATATAAACGTTTGAAGAACTTAAATAAAATATATTATATTTTGTAGGAAATGATAGGAAAAAGGAAGCACCATCAGGACCACTTCAGTCTTTCCAATACATCCCACAGAAGAAGCCTAAACTTACAACGCATGTTTCTCATCAGCGACCGCCATTCTCAAGTGCTGAGGCTTGGGAATTGGTAGCTATAGACATTGATCCAGCAGATTTTGTCCCAATGGTTCTAGAAGCTAACGATAATGATGAAGGTGACAAAGTTATAGGCATTATTTGTGGTGCTATAAAAACGCTTAAAAATCAAAAATGGAAACCTGATACATTGGTTTACATGGGATTATTATACTTAGCAAAAATTCGCCCTTCCATGTTTTCAAATGATTGTATATTACATGCATTATCTTCTTTACTAAAACGGGATCAAGGACATAATTATAAAACAAAAGGAAACCCATTAGTTCCTGTACTTGCAGCTAATTTGTTAATGAAGGGATTCCACGATAAAAGAAATTGGCCAGAAATCTTTGTCAAGGTTGCTTGAATGAATACATTACATTAATAATTATTAGTATTATATAGTAATTTAATTTTCGTTGTTCTCTTTATAGCTATATATTGAGGATGCTTTGGGTGAAAGAGTATGGATTGATCACGAAGAATGCAAAGGTTTTGTAGATAATATTTTAACAGGATTTAATACAAGGCATCCACCAAAAAACATCCTACAACCAGAGCTATCTGTCTTAACACCACGAGATTGTCATAGCCCGTCTACAGTTGATGATGAAGATCCAGGATCTTCATCTGTACAGTTTTCTGGAGACAAAGAAAAAATCGAATTTCCTGTTACTCCTAGATATGCTCATTGTATAGAGAACATAGAGTTTATTGTTCTTGAAGCTGTGAAAGAACAATTAAACAGACGGCAACCAGAATCAATTACGAAAAATTTTTTAAAATTACTTTCTTCAGCCTGTGGTTTTGTAGAAATCAGAAATATCGCTGTTCCAAGATTAGAAGTGTGGTTACACAATCCGAAATTAATGAGACCTGCTCAAGAATTACTGAGCTACATTTGTTACAATTGTACTTCCCATACGCAAAGAGACGTTGAAGTTATAAGTCAATTAGTAAAAATGAGATTGAAAACTAAAGCAGTAATTAATCTGTATTTAAATGGTGTAAAGGAATTAATCGGCCTGCATCCCGAAAATTTGTCTACTATCTTAAAACATACAATTTACAACGAATTATCTAATGCAAGAAATCCAAATAATATGCCAATGCTAGGTGTAATGTTTCAAACTTTACCCGAGCAAGCAGCTAAATTACTTGCAGAAATATTTCAGGATTTATTAATGAACCGAGAAGATTACCTTAGACCTTTGCGTGCACTGCTCAGAGAAATCATACGTGTTTGCCGACATGATATTAATTTACTTATCTTTGCGCGCACGTTGATGTCTGAAAGACAGGATATAGCGCAACAGTTGCTTAATTTTGAATTCAAAGAACGAGTCTTCATTTCAATTGCAGATTTATTATGCTTATGTATGTTACTAGCTATCAGCCCACAAGTTAAAGAAGCCGCGGCATTGGCACAAAGAGGTGATAAAAAAGATATAGCTTTATTACATCAATTTCAGAACATGGTAGCGACAATACAATTCGAAGCCATGTTATGGCTACAGAATTCAGCGCCACAGATGTATGCTATTGGAAAAAATGAGCTCCTTCATGCTTTACATAAAATCTTATTGCTTGAACCACCAGAGCAGTACTATAAATTAGATAATTGGCCGCCTGAATCTGATAGAGTATTTTATTTACGCCTTATTTCGGATGTTCCATTATTACAGAATACATTGTTAAGACTGCTGCTGATCGGTTTTTCAAAAGTATGTATCTAGAATGATGAATTTATTCTAGCATGTCTTTTTAACACAATAATTTAAGGGTTTTATATTCTCTGTTTTAGGAAAATGGCATTACTCATTCAGAAACGTTAGATCTAGTAGATCAGTTAATTAGGCGAGCTGCAGCTAATTCTACTGAGAGTTTCCCAACACTACAAGCTGATAAATTAGATATAATTGAACTTATTTTTAACTTGTGTATTTATCAACCACCAGGAACTATAAACATACCGTCAAAGTATTTATAGATTGTAGTAATATTGTAAATTTAACTAATTCAATAGAAACTTATATTAATTATTTCCTTACTTTTATTTAGCTATGTACCACCTACTTTGGCGATATCAAATTTATACTGGAAAGGATGGATAATGTTATTAATACTGGCTGCTCACAATCCTTCTACTATTGGTGCGGTTGCGTGGAAACGATATCCTATTTTACGAACTTTGATGGAAATGTGCATCACGAAGTATGTTGAAATTTTTATATATTTGCGCAGAGAAAAATACTTATATTCTTTTTCAATAGATCTCTTTTAATGTGTCATTTGTAGTCATTTCTCCTATCCACCACCAACGATGGCATTGCCAGAAATAATAGAACAGGAACGTTCGAAAGAATTGCAAGTCGAAGCTATAGAAAAACAAGAAATATTAGAATATGAATCGCACTTAGCTGCTGCATCTACAAGGATACAAATATCGGAACAAAACAGTTTACTACTATCGCAATTGATGACTATGGAACCAACTGGTATTGCTAGAAGGCCACCTCCAGCAGTGTTAGAACAAATACAATCATTAAATGTATCCCATAGATTGGGACATTTACTTTGTCGATCTCGTAAACCAGATTTCTTATTAGATATAATACAAAGGCAACAACAAAGTTCGTCTCAGAGTATGCCATGGCTAGCAGATCTTGTACAAAATAGCGAAGGATCTCTTAGTCAATTACCTGTACAATGTCTTTGTGAATTTTTATTGTCTACTAGTACTCAAGCTGTGGAGAAACAACCAAGACAGCAACAATTATTAGCTCATCTTCAAATGTTATTAACCGATCCCGAACAGGATCGACAACATGCCTACGAAGTCTTAGAATATTTCTTAAGAAGACTGAGCAGCCAACAGACTGGCAGTCGCCTTCAAGCAATTACAGGTTTAAAGATGGTACTTGGATCAATACCTACTGAAGAAGAACCCATGGATATAGATGGAGAGAATGAAAAGTAATTTAAAAAGTACACCTTTAACGATATTTATTCAAGCTAAAACCTAATACGAACTTCATTTCAGGGAGATCTGGCTTCTTCGTAAATTACCGTCCATACCTCATTTCTTATCCGTACGGTCTTTAGTTTCTACTGCTCTTCGTGGTGCATGTCAAGTCGAAAATAATCCAGATCTTGTGCACGCGTACATATCTTATCTTTCTGCACATACTACGGACGATGATTTACCTGATTTAACCGATTTAGCTAACGAAATATCTCAATTGGTAGTCGAGCGAAGTACAATTATAGCAGCTATTCTACCGCAACCAGAAATTGATAATCCACAAGCTAAACAGACTTTGCATGCGTTCATGGTGATTTTTTGCAATTATTTAGAAAAAGCTCGATCTCCACGAGCAGAGGAATATACGTGGTCCGAAAGTCAAGATCAGATATTAGTACAATGGAGTACAGGAGAAGAATGTACTATGCATATTTTAGTTGTTCATGCTATGATAATCTTATTAACGTATGATTCCGATGACGATGTATTGTTTGATATTCTACTCGAAACTTGGTTTCCGTTGAATACAGAACCACCAAAAGCTTTCCTCGTTGATACAAGTGAAGAAGCTTTACTAATACCAGATTGGTTAAAACTAAGAATGATCAGAAGCAACGTACCACGTTTAATTGATGCAGCTCTTAAAGATTTGGAGCCGCAACAATTGGTCCTTTTTATTCAGAGCTTCGGTATTCCTGTCCCTTCGATGACTAAATTATTGCACACACTAGATGCTGGTGTGCAAATCGACCCAAGTT